TTTAGGGGTTTAGGGAATAGGGGTTTCATAGGGTTTAGTTTCCTGTGTGCCTTTTTTTGAGGGTTAATGTACCCATGTAGTAGTATCTAAACTTGTATAAGTAATAAGGGTTCTACAAATAGTCTGAAAAGGGCTTCCGGGTTTGCTGAACACCGAGAATTATGAGTTGGAATGAGAACTTCAGTTGAGGGATGTTTGCCCAAAGCCCTTAATTAATATACTCAATCCCAAGCCAGAAACGCCCTGAACCCTCAGCCCTAAATCTTAAACCCTAAGCCCCAAACCCGAATTCCGTGACGAGGACGGAAATGCAGGGTCGATTTACGGGTTCCTCATAGGCTTGAAAGGGATCCATAGGGATTCTACTAAAAAAGGTTTCACAAATACTCATTTGCGGTTCTATAAAGTTCTATACGGTTAGAATGCGGTTCTGAATGCATCTTACTATGATTAACTGTCTTAGGGCATTTTCGGGTGCGGGGTTAAGTTCAAGTGCCTAGCGGTTTTAGGTTCGTTCGAGGGCTTTAGAGTTTTGGATTCAATCCCAAAAAAAATGTTGGTGCCCTAGGGTGTTCTGGTACACTTCGCACCGAAAGCCATAAACCATAATCACCTACCGGTCCAGCATCAAATCGTAAATCCTTAACTGAACACTGGTGCCAGTGCTGAAAGTCGTAAGAGCAGACTAACGTGTTTCTGATTTGGAAGCTGACCCCTGCCTAGTCCAACCAACACAACCCATTTCTTTAACTCTGGTAAACCCTAAACCCTAANNACCCCTAAACGCCTAAACCCTCAACCATAAACTCCAACAGCCGAAACCTCACAACCTAGAGCTCGAGCGCCACTTAGCCCTAAACCCTACGCCGAAACCGTAACAATCCAACCCTAAATCCTAGAACCTAACCCTAAGCCCTAAAGCCCTAAACCCTTAAACTGCCTGACCTAGAGCAACGCCTAGCATGCCAAGCCCTGCCCCGAAGTCCACTTGCACAACTCCTAGATCATAAATCCGGACGTGCTCAACCCCTTAAATCCTAAACCCTGAACCCT